GCAGTGCTGATCTGAAAAAGTTGATGGATAGCAAAGCTAAAGTGATATTCTTTCTCCCACTATGGTGTGTTTTACAACAGTGTGAAATGGTCTCAGCTTGTGGAAGAACGTAAAAAGATAGTAGCCTGTCTCAATGTCCCTACTTTTTCAGAGGCAGATGAGGAAACTGCTTCAGAATCGTTTCAGCAGCCCTTCATTTTATTGCGAGGCTGATTCCTTTCTGATTTCCCTTTATTAATTTACTATTGACTAGTTTGTAGGTTAATTATTAGATATTCCAGTCAGTGGCATAGGGGATATAATGACAGTCTTCCAAAAGAAGGAAGAAAGATCTTAACCATAAAGCATTTACACTAGTTTTATTGCAAATCTTAATTGTTACTTTAGATTCAGGTGACCCTGTTCACTGTATTTATGCATCTTTAACAAGTTCCAAGATTTTTATTACCTATAAGAACTCTATTATACTTTTGTTACACTTTTTTGAAATTTCTATGATATCTGTATGGCATTGGCTCTAAAAGTCACTGTATAATTCTTTTCTCAAGGAAAACTGTATTATGGCCACTTTTTCCTAGACTTCTTCCCATAAGTATATCTTATTTGTCAGTATATCTGTTTCTCAGTGCTTTCTTTAATTGTTAAAAAGACTTAAGTGCTTGGGTTTGGAAGAAAGCAGATGTTACGTTGTCAGGGTATATGCAGTGGAAAATGCATGAGATTCTGATTATAGATCACTTTTACCAATCCTTTTGTCGAAAACCCTGAATTGAAGTGTAATTACTGTAATATGAATAGAGACTTTATGTAAAAAATTAGTCTGGTTCTAGTAGTTTTCATGGTAAAAAAAAATCTGAAAATGTTACTCAGAAGAATCAGTACTACAGATCACTTTTCAGCTAAAGTTTTCAGCTAGTAGAATACTTAAAAATACCAATTTCTAATAGTAAGTGAGAAAAATGCACGTCTGAATAGTTGCATTCATTTTATAAATACTTTTTATTTATTTTATCTTCCATATGCACTATAAAGCAGTTTACGTTTAACTGATTAAGTGGTGTTTAGAGGCGGTTATGACCTAGCCTCTGCTTCAGGATTTACCAGGTTTCACTCAGATATTTGAAAGGGAGAAGGATTTACTCTTTTGGTTTTGCCCCTCTTCTACGGTCTTTCATTTGCTGCTTTCACAAGTTATGTGCTTGGCATTAAAACACTTTTCCTTCACACTTGCCCAGTTAGATGCTTGCCTGGGGCATTTGGCATGCAAAGAGAGCCCAGGGATAGTTATATAGTGGTAAATGTGGTAGGTGTGGACATGACACTGCAAACCGAAGAAGCTGGGGCCGAGGGCCTGCAATTTGACAAGATTTTCTTTCAAGAATGCACTTTCCAAAACAGATCAAGACTGTAGGTGTGAAGTGCCTTCTCCTTGGCTGGCTGTTTCAGGAAAAACAACACTGAATGAGAATAGCAGAGTAGCATTACATCCTTCTGTATTTGTGGTGGTGCATGCTCAGCTGCTGCTTGGCTTGTAATTCTCTTTTCCCCTGCTGCCTTTTTTCCTTGTCCTGCTTCCTTTTTTCACCTTTGTTTCTGCTCTTAATCATACCTTGCAATCCTCTTCCCCCACTTCAACGAGTGTTTTGCCTTTCCACTCTAAGTTATGTGCATCTTCTTGGGCTGGATCTGCATTAGACTTCAGTATGAAACATTCAGTTACAGGACACTCGTTTTTGTGCAAAACATCTTAATTGCAAATGGAAGCTCACCAATCAGATGAAGAATAAAGATGTGCCTATATTAAAATTAGGAAGTCAGGAAAACATGCGGTCTTGTATTTTCCTTGCTTTCTTCCTAAATTTTTTTTCACGTTTATCTTCAAAACTGTGACATTTCAGAGTAGGATTTGTTAGGTTTAATTTTTAATTCCATTTTTAATTTATTCTTTTCATTGCATTGTCTTGTGTTAAGATTGATATACTCATGGCTGTTACGTGAAAGCAGAGAAAGATTTAAACTAAGGCAGCTCAGATATAGTTGTTAACTGGATAGTTCACTTTGTGATGTTGCTGCTTCCAGGTTGTATAAAGCTACCTCATCAGCTGTGAATAAAACACATCCAAAATGTCAGCGTGAATGACAGTGTTTTGGAGGATTTCTACTTACTTGGAGTTTAAAGTCATATACATTAAGATACGTGAGCTGTTAAGGATGGAAAAGGGAGTTTGGCAGTTTACATTTATTTTAAATCTCAGTGTAAACTTTTTTCTGTTTGATTACTAGAAACTACCCAGATGCTGTTGTAAATAATCAGATTTAAGTGCCACTTCTGGTCTGCTTGGAGACTGGTGCTCTGGTTCTGACAAATTATGAAACAGTGATTTGGGGTGTTGTGGTTTTCTTTGCTTTGGGTTTTTTGTAGCTGTGATCTTTAAATAGATAGGGATCACTTTATGTTGCTGTGGTTGTTTTGTTTCTGTTCCAGCATATTTGATATTCTAAGGCAACTGAATCTTCTGTTATTCAGACTTGCTAGGCAGTATATGAACTAAAGCACCAGGCATATGTTTTGCGTTCTCATTAAATGGTGTTATTTCACTAGCGTGACTGTGCTGATGAAAAGGTGTTATAATTGCATCATCTTGCTCTTCTGCAGAGATCAGCTGCAGCAGGTTCAGGTTTTTGGCTTCCTTTTTTTGGAGAAAGCTGACAGCTAATAGCAGACCAGAATGTCTTGGCTTTGCTTTTCTGCATTACCAGTTTCTGCCCAAATGCTTGCTGAAATCTAATATTAGGAGCTGCTTCTCTTATTTCAATTTTTGACATAAATGTGAATGTTGTTCACACATGACTGAAAGCCCAATGTCAGGCTTCTCTTTGCCTTCATCAGGGCTGCAAGCCTTCTTAAGCTGGTTTCTAATTTTGCCCAGAGCAGCATATCTGAATCTCCTCTTCTGATGTGCGACATGGCAGTCTTCTCCTCAGAATCCCATTCCCTTCTTTTTACAGAAGCAATAACAGTTGTCTCAAGCCTTTCCTCAAACATACCTCTGTTATAAACTGGAGTTTTCACAAGTCCTTGTAGCAACAAAAATTTCCCTGAGAGAATTTCTGAGTAAAATAGTCATGATACTCAAAAGGGATGTTTTTATTTTCTTGATGGGTTGGGCACAGGATTTTTTCTTTCTCCAATTCCTTATAAATCTCCCCCTCCATTTTTCAGTCTGTTTTCTCCTGGCAGAGAAACACAGTTCAAAATACACCTCGTTGTCTGGGAAGATTATCAAGTTGGCATGAAATTCCTCTTGACTTTATGCTAATCCAGTAATCATTGATTATTTGAATGTGCCTTTTGTCTTAAGCTTCAAGTGGGTAATCAGCTCATCGAGAAAACTGAAGCTGGAAAGTCTTTGAAATAGAAATCTCTCAGCAGAATTATTCCATGGTTAATAAATCTGAAAGATGTTTCTCTATGTATAGCAAAGACAGAGTCCCTATAGAGGTCTCTTCTATTGCCTGTGAACATAAGTAGTTAGGTATTTCTCACTCCAGTTGTGTGTCATGTAAGTTATTAGCAGAATTCCATCAATGGCAGCATCAGAACTTAAGGCAAGAAGAAATGAGGTTGTAATAATGCATAATGAAGAGATCAATCACATCAGGCACTCCAAATTCAGTGACCAATAATTTGCATGCAGCTTTTGTTTGTGTTTAGTAATCGTACCATACCTCTTTTCCCTCTCCTCAAAGCCTTGCCTGTGTGAGAATTGTCTTTAAGACCTCCTTAAAGGCTTAGTTTTACCCAGATGAAAGGTCATACAGCAGATAATCTCAATGTTTAGACTTTTTGCATCTGTCCCCATCTGACTGCACAGAAAAATCTCTCATCTTCCTAGGATTTATCATGTTGGTATTTGTACAGGGTATGTGGGGCTGATAACTCTTATGCTTTTTTCCATGTTAATTGTTCAGAGATTTTGATAATTGTGTTGCTTTCCTCAACCCTTTGTCTGTCCTAAGGAACCTGGTTTACTCTAATCCATAAATAGGTAGCAGTTCAGTCCAACAATAAATGATGACCTCTTCTACAAAGCCAAAAAAACCCCTTATTTTTGCAGCAATTGACATCATTCAGGATTTTTTCTAGAAAGTATATTTAAAAACTCAGAACTATATAGGACCTCCGTCAATATTTTTTCCATCACCTATAGGAAAATGCTGGTGGTCCCTCCAGTTTGAACAGCCAAGGGACAGCAATTGATCCAGACACTAAATCTTGTTTGATGGTCCTCTAGGTTTTTTTATAGCATTTAGCCTTCACAACAGCTTAAAAGATCCCTCTATCCTCTTTAGAGAGAAGGTTACAAATGGCTTCATATGTAGCATAATGGAATGCTGAAATTTGTGATAACGGATAAAAATGCAGTAATGAAATTACTTTTAAAAGCTGGATAGAAGCGGAGTTTTCTGATGGCTTTTGATGACATGTTTTATAAGCATACAGGTTCCAGTGTAGCTTTCCCTTTTTCTTATTGTGAAGTCAGTTTCTTTATAGGCACATAGGCCAGGCTTTCTCAAGATAAGTAATATATTGTCCTGGTGACTGTTCTGTCAAATGGTTATACTACTATAGAGGAAAGCACAGATTACAATCGGATTAAAATGCTAAGAGTCATAATTGAAAGATACTCTATAACAACAAATTGTTATTTATTTACCTGTAAAATAATAATATGCTACTGGTCATCAGGTTTTTTTACTCCTTACAAAGCTAAAAATACTTTAATATTTGATATTGCAATACAATCACTTGTTTATTGCCTGTTTTTCAAGTCCTGGGAAATTTGTCTGAAATTTCCTCCTCCTGCTCATTTCATCAGTTCCTTTCTAATAAGTGTATCAATTCTGAGACCTCTCCTCCTGAATGTTCAATTCGTATCCCTTTTCCACCTGTGTTCCCTGGATTTGCTTTTGCAAAATGAAGGAGTTTTGTCTTTCAGAGCACGAAGGTCACAGGAAGTGATTCAGGAGGTGTCATTGATCTTACACTGGATGAAGAGGACGATGGCTCTTCTCAAGGTAGGTGAAAAAGATTTTGCTAGCTGCAGGGGTAATTGAGCTACAAGTATCATATCATCCCGTGAATGACAGAAAGGAATAAACTTCTGTTTCTGCTTAGCGTATTTTATTCCTTGGTGTTTCAGTTAAACAGGACTGTTGTTAAAGAACTCTGATAGGCCTTAAATAAAAGGAATTCTACTTACTGTAGAACAGTCTTTAAGATTTTTTACCTTCCCCTTATTTTAGGCATTGCTGCTGTCTATGCTTAAATCTGTTAGGCTTGGGGAATAATTTGAGATATTTGAGTCCTTTATTATATTTTGGAAAGTTCTCCAAGATGTATTTAATTTTTCTGCTTACTGATTAATTAAAGACCTTTTGATTCTACAGTTGGTATTCAGGCATTAGATTATTACAGTTTCTAATATTTTGTTTCACTAAAAAACTTTGTGTGCAAGAGTTTAAATACCAAATGCAGTTCTCTTCTTTGCTTTGGGACGGTATGCCAGGATTAAGTATAGTTGTGGTCTTATATCCTTTGGCAGTTTGGATGCACTTCATCTTTTAAAATAATACCTTATTTTTATAAGTCTTGCGTAACTGTGGACAGGTCTCATAATTACCATTGGATTAGCAAAGAATTATAGTATTTCAGAGAAGTAATAAGAGTCTGTACTTAAGACCATGTATTACACTGTCATCTTAACTGAAAAATTAATATTTCTACTATTAGAGGTAAAATTTTAGTTCTGCATGATCTCTAAATGCATGCCCCTGCACTGCATTCTGAAGACCAGCCGCTAAGAAGTGTGATTCCTCTATACAACCTGCATAGCTATCTCTCTAGCTAGTGCGTTCCAAGTTCTACATGTACATTCTTAATAGCTTGACTTGCTCTGTGTTTGCATTACAGAAATGTAGAAAATCATATTGGTATGCGGTAGTATTTCTTTCAGTGAGGAAGAAATGAAATGGTACCACCAAAAGGACAATGCATGTAGTATAGGAGTATTAGAGAAGCGTGATGCAATTCAGATAGCTGACAGTCTGGTTCTTTTATCAGTAGAGGGTATATGGTGGACACTGAATTGAGTATGAGCCATCAGTGTGTTCTCATTTAAATTTAAGTTAGTATTCCACCCACACTGACGCTAGCAAAACCACACCTGAAATATGGTGTCCTATTTTGGGTCCCCCTTCCTTGAGTTTAGAAGAGTTGTGGTAGCACTGGAGAGGGCCTAATAGATGGCGTCAGGATGGTGGGGGGTCTAGAGTACATGACTGGTGAGAAGAGATCGACAAACCATGGCATGTTTGGCAAAGAGCAAACTGAGAGACAATGTAATGGCACCACAGAGCTGCTTGGAGGATAGTGTTGTGGTTTAACCCCAGCCAGCAGCTAAGCACCATGCAGCTGGCCGCTCACTCACACCACTCCCCCCAGTGGGATGGGGGGAGGAAATCGGGGGCGGAGGGGAGTGAAACTCGTGGATTGAGATAAAAACAGTTTAATAGGACAGAGAGGAAGAAAAAAAATAATAATGTGACAGTAATGAAATAATAATAATAATAGGGTTGGAATATACAAAACAAGTGATGCACAATGCAGTTGCTCACCATTCACCAACCAATGCCCAGCCAGTTCCCGAGCAGTGGCCCCCAGCCAGCTTTCCCTGCAGTTTATATACTGGGCATGACGTCACATGGCATGGAATAGCTCTTTGGCCAGTTGGGGTCAGCTGCCCTGGCTCTGTCCTGTCCCAACTTCTTGTGCCCCTCCAGCCTTCTTGCTGGCTGGGCATGAGAAGCTGAAAAATCCTTGACTTAGTCTAAACTTAGTATAAATTGACTTAGTTATAAATACTTAGCAACAACTGGGAACACCAGCGTGTAATCAACATTCTTCTCATACTAAACCCAAAACACAACACTATATCAGCTACTAGAAAGAAAATTAACTCTGTCCCAGCTGAAACCAGGATAGATAGTCACAAAGATGATGGAGCACAACTCTTCTCAGCAGTGCCAGATACATAGCAAGGGGCAGTGGCCATGAACTACAAGTTCAGGAGGTTCAAGCTGAGCTTGAGGGGAAAAGAAATCCCAGTAGGAAGGTAGTGCAGCACAGAGGGATGGTAGAAACTCCACTCTTGAATGTTCTCAAGATTCAGCTGGGCAAAACTGCAACTCATTTGAATTAGTGTTGGTGACAGTCCAGCTTCAACAAGAGGTTGGATTACACAGCCATCAGATGTCCTTTCCAGCCAGGATTTTGATGATTCTGTGAATCTCATAGCTGAGTGTCAGAATAGCATAGGGAATCAAGTTTTTACCACTGTCATCTCTTCTGAGGGTTAGTTCTCAAAAACATAAGAAAAATGGTTGCACTTGGACTGTGGAAATCTGTCAGGTAAGGTTAAGCTCCCCAGTCCTATTTAATATCCTGTAAAAGATACAAACAGATCTAAATGGATTTATGGTATGTTTTAAAGTAGCATGTCGCAGTATTGTAATGTATTTCAGCTAATCTTTTTCTATCAAAAATAACATTTTTCAGAGAGTTTTTTCTTCCCTGATTGCATAAAGTATGTCTTCACCTCACAGTTACCATAAAGGAGCAACACTGTGGTTGCATGTGCAACTGTAAGAATGCTTCTCTAAGTAGAAGTGCTAGCAGCCATGGCAGAGTTGCGGTTGCATTACAGTATAGTAACTTAATTCTTCCTCAGCTTCTTTTTTGGGGGCTTGAGCCAGTTCTCTAACAATTTTCTCCTGTGGGATATTCTGAGATTCTTTCCCCTTAGTTGTCAGGTTTTAGAAAATGGTCCTTTCATCAGGAAGAGGGTTAGTGGGGTACTTTCAGGCTGGGTTAGCTCCTGTATGTCTCTTCACTGCAGAGCAGAAGCCAGACTCTCACTCATAGTCTGCAGCCTTGCAGATTAGTTTATGTTTAGAGTTCGTTATGTTTAGAGTCAGTATTTTTCATATAAGCGGTAGAAATGTATGGACTCAAACCCTAATAAAAGCTTGAGTTTCACCATGTAGTGAAAACACATCTCTAGGATTTTGAGCAAGTTTCTTGGGAAGTAATTCAAGTGTTCTGATAATAGCATTCAGGTTAAAAACAGGAAGAGTACACTTCTGACAGCTTTTGCACAATCATATGCATGTATATACCTTTGGCCAAATATTTTTTCTGCTGCACTTTGTTTACAGCAAATGTGGAGCAAGTTTTAATTTGTTCTAGATTTATTGGTACACAACCTCAGGATAGAAAGTACCTCCAGCTTTATTGTGTTTACTGCAGTATGCTGGAATATCAGTTCAGTACTAATTCAAATAGAAGAGCAACACTTACATAGTGTTCCTGGAAACGCTCAGATCCTGATTATTTTGTTTAAAGCGCTGTCACCTGCATACTAAGTAAACCTAATTCTGTTACTTATAAAAGGCATTTAAATAGATGTTAATATCTGGAGAGAGATGTCTGTTATGTGCTGCCCTTTAAATCTCTCCTGGTACAACTATGGTAGTATATAACTACGATGTGTGTCCTTGTTGGTTGAAATTACTAAAGAATTGGGTTGAAACTATATTTTAATATTGTGGAGGATTTTTAAACCTGTTCATGTAAACTACTCTCCATGCCTTACTTTTTCCAATGAAGTTTCCATTTGAATCAATAATTAATATCTGTAATACTGTATACCAAAGTATACATATAGGGTAAATTAGACTTAAATTTTAGGTTAACAACTATGGAATTTTTAGATGTTTTGTGAGGTTATTAAGCTGAAATCAGAGTTTCTGTATTGGGTCATGGAAGAGCAGACCTATATAGACTGTCATCAGGCCCAGTCTTCAGTCATGGTGGATAAACAAAACCCTGTGCATTATCTTTAAGGGCTAATCATGTTTTGAGGGTGGCGGATTTTTGTTTGGTTGGTTTTGGGGGTGGGGTTTGTGGGGTTTTTTGGTTTTGTTTTGTTTTAGTGTCACTAAAACAGGTCCTAGTGACTAGGACCTCTAATCATGCTTGAGCCACTGGGTTTGGACACAGTACTCCTACAAACCAGAGTAGCTGTCCTTCAGCAGCTGTTGGTTTGGCATTTCGAAACCCACTTTATTAACACAGAAACACCTGTCTCTAACTTCCAGCCCCTTTTTTACATACAGCAGTTTGCATTCAAATAGTGCTTCATGTAGGGGAAAAAAGTATTACCATCACACTGTGGAAACACTTGCCTGATGCAGCCTAGATTTGCATTTCCTCTCTTCTTTATCAGACAAGCAACGCACAGACATTCCATAATTAACAACATATGCCGGTTTTCCTGATCATCTTCACTGCCCCGCACATGATTTCCCACATTAATAGTAGAAGTTCTTACCAATTCCTAAATGGGTCGTGTTGCACTCTCTAGTGTCACCTTTTTTCTAGTTCTCAAGTCTTACCTTTGTTCCTGTGTGATATTTTGGTCCACCTCCATACTGGTGGCAACTAAACATAGTGCACACCTTCTGATGTGTGCAAAAATTATTAATGAAAATGTTGCGTAACATTTGAGAAAGTGTTGTTAATTTCTGTTCAGAACAATTGTTGTCATCCTTTTATCAAAGAATAATCTAAATACTTTTCTGTCTGCAAGTATCTTGCTGTACTTGTACAGTCCCCTTGTTGTCCCTTTTATTAAATATCTGTGTAGATCACTACATCAAATTATTTCATAAGAATACTAAGACAAATAATAGATTTAGCTGGTATCTACCCCTAGTCTAAAGTGGATTTGTAATCTAAGCAAGTTACACAAGTGTACTCTTGATGTTCCTCTTTTTTTTTTTTTGCATTTATCTTTTTGTAGAAAAAATGATTAAATATATACAGCATCAGTTTTTTATTTCATAAGCTATTTTATCTGATTAACAAATCTGTAGTTTTCTGGATCATTTTTTGTCTTATTCTTTAACAAGCTTATGGTATATTTGCTGTTCTGTAACGACATTATACCACTTCTGAATTAGTATGCTGATTAAAAGTCCTTCCTGCTATAGCTGCAGTGTTGTAGGCCCATTTTCTGGTATGGAAATTAGCCCCTCTTCTTTTCCATTTTATGCTCATTTCCATAAATCAGATTATTCTGTGTCCTCCAGGTCCACATTTTTAATTAATATGATCCTGTGTTCATTGAGCACTGGAACTGTTCCCATATGACTTTTAACCTTAGTCCTGTGCTGACTATGCACTCAGTCTTCCTGTTTTCCTTGCTGATTTTTTACTTAAGTAGCTAAATTAGCCTTTCCTGTTTGTTCCCATTTATTTAGCGAAGTCTAGTTGGTTATCTTTTATCATTTCCTGTGGCTGGTGCAATTCCGACCTGGTTTCCAGCAACTGGAATCTCAGCAGGGCTCTTAATTTGTCAGGGAAAAATGCACTTGCTTCTGTGTGAGATTAAAAACAAAAGCAAAACCAAAAAAGCCCTCACATTGTCCAGACTGTCATTTTCACTTGAACTACATTTTTACAGCAGTAGTGTATCTGGGTTTTTACTAGTTGATTCATGAGCATTTCTTCTGTAGGTCATGACTAAGAACGCACTCACATCACTTACATTATCCAGTGACAGTTGAAATGTGCATCAGTCTGTAAATATTCAAAGTAAACAGGTGTATGCATCTCTGTAGGAATCTCTTCAGAGTCAAATTATTTGTTGAACACTGGGGCATGTCTCATACTTATGGAAAATAAAAGAAGCTTGAACTAATCACAAAACCTATTAATGAAAGAGCAGGAAACATCTCACATTTTGTTTTCAAAATGAGTATCCCTTTACTGCTCCTTGTATAGACTTTGAAGAAAGAAAGAAAAGAAAATTATGTTTTTATCAGATGGCTTCAGTGAAGTAGCTCAGCTATTCAGTCTACAGAAAGACAATATGGTCTGCAATTTATATTGTCTTTTATTTTTGAGGTCTTGAATTTAACTTATCATATAGCAGTTTGTGAAGGGTAGTGCTACTTCAAGCTACTAGTATCTGGTGTTAAAGACAGCTTGGTGAGACCATCAAAATAGTCTCCAATTGCTAAAAAACCCAACATTTTGAGCTACACTGCCATTAACCCTGTTCTTAATGCTTTGAAATCTAGTTAGTCTACTTAATTGATGGTTTCTAAATGTGTTCATCAATATATTGTTGATACGTTTTCTCAAGAGTAAAATACAAATTAATGTATCTTTTATTTTTATATTGTGTGCTCTTTTACTAAATTAGTGGCTGCTGCATGTACAATTTTATTACGGCAAATCATTTTTGAATGAGTGCCCTTAAAACCTACTCTTTTATGTTGTGTGTTTTAGGTTTTGGTGGTGCAGTCTTTGCCCACTACTGCTGTAATCTAGCTGAAATATCCAGGCAAAAGCTTCTGAATTCTTCTTTATTCATATTGTGCAGAAGCTTGATTGCATACAGACTTGCACTCAAATGAGTATTTTATGTTGTCACAAATAAACTAAAGCAGGAAAAGATAACTGCTGTAGTAAATACAGATACAGACACTATTTGTCACTTCTCACAAATCAGTAAGTCGTGTGGAGTAGGGTGTCAATGTGAGAAACAGCTTAAATCCTCTTTTTTACGTTTTTCTATAAATAATAAAGTGATTGCCCTTTTTTAAGAAAATAGCATGAAAATTCAAAATGGCAACAAACAGGGCTGACTAACAGATTGAACAAAGGGAAGAGTCAGCAAATAATAAAAGGATGTAATCATCAAAGGTAGGCAAGATTTATTTAGGGAGCTTTATCACTTTTTTGAAACAAATTGAGTACAGCAGTGTTTAGGCCTTTTTAAGCTTTTAGGCTATTCTTTTTTTAGTAGAAACTTGTAAAGACTTTGGCATAGTGTTCCATTAAATTCAGGTTTCCAAATGATGCTGAAATACACAGACTTCATGATGACAGAATGAAACGTTATGGAGTATGGGGAGAAAAAATTGAGATGATGAAAGTGAGGGGAGTTGAATGAATTTTCTACAGTTTTGTTTGCCAAGTGAAAAGATCAAAGAATGTCACACTACGAAATATTCTCTGCTAATCTATGAATGACAGGTGGAAAAAAGATTTTAAAACTCTGTGATGTTCTAATTTGTGTTTGCTATTGTCTATGACTTTATTTTGTTTTAAAGCAGATGGCAAGAAGCAGAACCAGACACCTGTTACAGGATTAAGCATATCCAGCCAGCCCTTGGCTCGCCCCTTGCAGCCTTTGCAGCCAAACCCTGTGCAGCAGACAGGTGTGCCAACAAGTGGACCTTCCCAGACGACCATACATGTATTACCTACAGGTAACTAAATTTTACATCACTATGTGAATGCAGTGACTGCTTTTTTTCTTAAACTGGACTCTTGTGTGTTCTACATTGTGCTAACCTTTTCAGGTGAACATTCAGAATGTTCGAATCACTTTTTAATCTTCATTCTAGTCAGTTTCCCATAACTTTTTTGTTTTTTTAAACTGATGAAGTGAAAGGGAAGCATAGTTCTTTTGATTTGGAAAGAATTCAGGATCAAATTAATTCTATGGAGAGGAAGAAATGATGCTAAAGATGGTCACAGAAATTATTAAATATACTGTTGTTTGTAAAAGTGGGGGAGAAGAAACCTGTAGCAGTGAGGAAAAAAAAATTCGCAACATCGCTCCTAGCTCTGTCCACCTGCACTTGGCAATTAATCCTTTTGGCAGAGTGAATGGCAAGGCTGACATGGAAGTTCCATCCCTAGTTAAATGTTATTTTGTCTGCAGTGTGATTTTTTTTTATTTATTTCTAACATAAAGAAACATAGATCCTCTTTTTTTTTCTTTATTTTATTCTCTTCTTCTGTAGATGATTGTTGAAGATTAGTTGGCATTAGAATTGTCTTATGACTGATCTGTTTTACAGACTCTTTGGTGGTGGGTTTTATATTCTCCACAGCTGTGCTTACATTCAGGATGGGTTGGTTGGGTTTGGGTTTTTTTTGGGGGGGAGGGGGGGTGTATTATGTTTATCTTTCGTATTTGGAATTTGTATATAGATTTGCGTTATTATTTCAGGTGAAAATTACTGTTTGTTTAGGCTGTTTTCTCTTTTCTTGGATTATCAAAAGCAGATAGAATTTCAGAGACAGTTTTTATTTTGCATGGCTCAGAAAAGTCAATTTTCCAAAGGAGGTGAGTATTCTGGAATAGGCATATCAGCTCAATGTCATGGAATTCCATTCTAGGTTATGCTTTGTCTGTCTTTTTCCAGCTCCGACAACAGTGAATGTAACTCATCGGCCAGTGACTCAAACTGCAGCGAAACTTCCTATACCAAGAGCCCCTGCTAACCATCAGGTGGTCTATACCACTCTTCCTGCACCACCAGCTCAGAATCCTGTAAGAGGGGCTATAGTGCCAAGCCCAGGTTTAAGGCCAGTCAACCCACAGACTGGAGGTAGGGGATGCTTTCTTCCATGCACATTTTAGCATGACACAGCTTGATATGTTCTACCTGATGGATGTGGGGTTTGTTTTTTTGTTTTGGGTTTGTTGTTTGTTTACAATACTATTCCAAATTACAGATGTTAGGTGTTTTTTCTAGCTTACAAACTTGAGAAAATCTCAGGCTATTAAGAAGTCATTCCCCCTGCAGCTATGTGAACAAGGAGAAACTGGATTTGGGTCATCTTAGACACTAGCTCTGCCAATTAAGCATCTCTGGATGACATGCCCAATACTTTACAAGGTAGCAGAAGGTAATACAATGAGCACCACTGTTTGTAGATAGTTAGAGACCATTTTGTTATTATGGAGTAAGATTAAAACATACAAGTATGTAGTAAATCGTGTTTGATTTCCTGTCTAAAATTTACATCTGTATCAGGCATCCTAATGTAATTCCTTAACAATCTCTGATGTTCTGTGACCAGCAAATTTTCGTATTATCTCTAGGCCTGGACAGATGAAATTTCTCACCAAGTGTATTAGAAATTGATGCATGTTTGAGTTAACTTGACTAGAGGTGTCAGCACATTTATCTTGACTTTGCAAATGTGTAACTGGTATCTTCCCATATGAGTAAACTCATTTTCTGAAATGAGTAGTAGATGTCAAAAATAAAGACCTTAAAGTTAAATGATAGTTTATATTCTCTTACAAAATGGTGGATCTTAACTGCCTTTTCTTAGCTCCCCATAATTTCTACACTATGGTTATCTTAACACTGTTATGTTAAACATAAATTTCCCTGTTCTAGTGCACTGAGTAGGAGCCTACTTTTGTGATGTCCAGGTAGTGATTTTTTAGACACCATCTGAACACTTGGAACATTGCATGCTTGAGCCACGTAAGACTGTACCTATGTAGGTTTGTGCAGAAATAATTGATGCATTGTTCTGAAACAACAGGTTTTGGAAAGGAGAATATCCATGTATGTTTGTAGCAATTTAATTCTAAGTATCTCTTGCAAGTGGATTCGGCTGCATTGCCATAGACTGTGAAAAATCGGCTGTGCTAGCTAAACAGAAGTTGATCAGACAGTTCTTGAGCGCTCTCTATGAAATGTCAGGGTGTGAGGAAATTGCTGTTCTCTTCAGAATACTTGTTCATATTCCTTCTTATACTCTTGTGCCATGTGCATTTGAGTTCAAGTTCTTCTGACCAACAGTATCTTTTGAGGGGCATGTCTCTATCTTGTGTTCCTGTTAGCAAAAGGCCATAAAAGGCAAGTTAACCTCAGCCCACACTTAGTTTTCTTCATCTTTACCCTTAGCTACAAGTTAGATGTGTGATCTGTCTGTTGTTTTGGAAGGAGTTTTGAGTACTTAACCATGCATTCACTTATGTTAATTATTTTTAGTAGTATTTTCTTCTTTTGTACCAAAATACAAAAAATTTTGTCAGAATTTACTACTTAGAGCAGTTACTATGACTAAATACGCATCACTGCTATTAATATCTACAGAATACCTTTCAGTTTTAGACATGCAAGATAACTAATGTGTTGTTGAAGAACACATAATAGGTAATACGCTATTTTAAGACCTTTTCTAGGAGAACTCAATCAAGTAGGGAATTGATAAGTTTTCCAGGCAAGGTCATCCAACAACAGATCTCTGTGTAATGTGCTTCTGACCTGATGGTCCAGTGATACAATGAAAGCTTATCCTTAGTTGTCTGCTTACAAATTCTCAGAAATCAAGGCAGGTTTCCACCAAAATAATTAGGATTCAGCTTGACCAGACCCTGAATAACCTAATCTAAGAGCATTCTTTCAACAGAACGTTGGGCCAGATCATCTCCAGCAGTCCCTTCAAACCTGGACCTTTCTGCGCTTCTGTTAGAGGCAGTTCTGTTACTCTGGCTTGAAAAGTATGTCTGTGTATTATACAGTACTATTGTCTGACAAGCCACATAAGACGTAAGAAAATGGCGGTTCCTCCAAAGCATTGTGCATTCCCTGTACCTCAGGACAAGGGAGGAGGATGGTTAGCGTAAGTAGATAAAAGACCAGTTTACTTAGAATACAGATTATTTCAAGGCTTCAGATTTGCATACCAGGTAGATAGGTTTCATGTACTGTTAATGAAAAAGCAGTTGCGTTTCTTGATCCCTTTTAGCTGTCACAAGTTTTTTCTTATAGTCCACTGTATTTTTCACCATCTATGTTACACAGTTTTCAGAAATGCTGCTACTGATGTGTATTAGTTTATATTGTCATTGAAACAGTCTTTAGTGTCAGTAGCAGATGCTTCAGGAGTAAGATCTCTGCACTTTGTCTTTGAAAGATTAACTGTGAGAACTCATCTGAAGTGTTCTCAAATTGGAGTTTTGTACTTCGTCAACTAAGTAGTATGCCTACCTAGAAATAATGCTAAATTTGTATCTTATATCTTATTAAGGTATTTCTGTCCACCTTTCTTCAGATTTTTGTAAATTCCTGAGGTAGAATGACAGTCATGCTAAACAGCATATCTGATTGGATTCTCATAGATGAGAAGCAGCCAGTTCAGGTGACAGTTTATCCTACAGGAGTTTGCACAGCTTCATTAGCTTCTTAGATAGATGTGCCAATAGGAAAAAGATGTGAAGCAGCTACCTAGAGTTCAGCACTTTCATTATAAAAGCATTAAGATTTAGCATTCTGAGCTCCCTGCCTCAGACTCACAGATTACAAAGACTTCTGGTACTCATCACCTATGGTCATAGTTTGATGACTGTTTATAATAGAGAAGAAATTACCATACAGTAGCTGTGGTTTCCTGACATGTGTCACTGCGAGCTTCACTTCTGAAGTACTAGAATGCTTCAGTCTCATACAGGTGTGGAACTAGGGGGCGGTGAAGATTGCCCCAGATCTTGTATTTCTAGATAGAAGTAGAGGGACACCCTAGGCAACCCATAATGATGAGCAAAAGCTTTGAGCTCACAGAACATACATGTTCCAACCGTAAACAGACAAAATGCTACTTAAGAGAGTGAGATGTAGTATAAAATGAATGAAAACTTGGTAGTTTGCAAGAGTTCTCGATATTATCTACAAGGCTATAAAACTCCCTAGTTTATTCCTGCCAGTCAGGTCAGTTTGCTGTGGCAAAGAATGAAATGGGAATGCTTGTGAGTAACATCCATTGTGGTGTCCATTCTGTGAGGCAGGACAAGTTTCTTGGGCAGTCACTTACCTTTTTTTGTTTTCAGTGCCATCCACAGCACAGCCTTCTGGCATTTGAATACTGAGTGGATATCATTCTGCTGCAGCAGCACTTTTGTTTTCCTTTCTGAATCCCAAAGTGGTGCAATTTTTCTTTTCATACTTAAGCTCCCTGTATCTCCCACACTTCCCCTCCCCACCCATTTCTTTCATGCTACAAATTATTAAAACATCATCCTGTCCCCTCCGCAGACATAAGCACTCGCTCTTTCACTTTTACAGCTTCAGAGGATGGGAGTTGGTTTTGTTGTTGTGCAGTATTTCATCAGTGTGCTGGCAGTTTGAGGAGACCATGTCAGTTTGAAATTTGGTGTCATCCAGATGAACCAAGGAGTTGGTCTTCCACTGTTCTGTTTAGCTGATTTTAAGTATTGAATACTCAAAGTATTCATTGTGCTTCTTACAGGTATGACAGTACGAATGCCTCCGACAACTGCATATGTTGTGAACAATGGACTAACTCTTGGATCTGGAGCACCTCAACTTACAGTGCATCATCGACCACCGCAAGTGCATGCTGTGAGTAGTCCTTTTGAAATTGCTTAATGCAGTTTACAGGCTTGTCTCTGCATTGATGTCTTTCAGATCACTTAGTGTGAACTGCAGAATAGTGAAATGCTTTGTAGACACTTTGCAGCCAGTTCACGTGCATAGCACCACCCTATCACCTGCAGCAACTTCTGCCAAGAATGGTAAAAGCTATGTGATCTGTTAGCTTACCCCAGAGTTCTCCAGATCACCAGTAGCACATGTTGAAAAATGGTGCATGAATTTTCTGCAGCTGACTTGTGGAGTCAAGGGTACAGAAGAACTGCCACTAAAAAGTTTAGTCATGGTTTGCCTATGAATGGGATGACCAGTTCCTCAGTGTAGCTGTTTGCACAACTGAGGTAGGAGAACAAGGTACAGACAAAACCCTCAAGGTTGCCAACTCCCAAATTTCAGAGGGCTTTTTTATCATTGTTGGGGGTGATTACTTCTGCATCACATCAAACCCCTTTTCCTAAGTATTTGAGAATTTACTTTGACTCATTTCCTATGGTTTTGTTGTTGAGACTGAACCAAATACATTGCCTGTATACTCACTGTTGGGCAGTCACATTTTGTGGTGTCCTGAAATGATAAATCTGTTACCAACAAGGTGGCTCACCATTCTTTCAATCCAGACACCATTAAACTTAATGCATTCCCCAGTGATAAATAATGAGAATAAATCAAGCCAATATCACACAGAACACTTAAGATGACAAAAACTACCCCAGATTCCAACCTGAAAGGCCCCTGGCTTGAAGAATAACAAAATTTTGTACTCATTGTAACCACATTCCTAAATTCATCTTAACTAACATAAATGAGAGACCTAGGACTGTTTCTGTGGTGTGAAAAAAAAAAAATCAATGGAAAGCCACATTTGTGCCCTTATTTCAAAATTTTCTGGAAACTGAGGCTGAGCTTTTGTAATCAATTTAAGGTAATAAAATCCGTGTGGCACTATTATCCATACTTCCTTTTGTGACTGAAAGCCTGCCTGTTGAAAAGATGATGAGTTGTCAGCTTAAATCCACTGCCTGGGGTATTTTGGGTAATGTGGGAACAGCTGCTCAAAACGTAGATTAGCCCAAAGTCATTGTGAACCTGCCTGCTCAGCCTTGGTAAAGGGAACAGTGTTCAGTCTGTCACCTCTTGGGTGGGAAGCAAAGAGGATATAGGCAAATAATTGTGGCAAAGATCATCTGTAGAGCTAGGAATTTATATGCAAATAAGAACCGATGGCATTCTTGGTCCCACTCCTTCTCAACATTTGCTGCTGCTCTCTTGCCTCTGCACACAGGACTTAGAGTTGTGGTAGTTGGGTGATTGCAGGCTCATTTGCTTCCATTTGCCTGGGGAATGATGAATTAAAGCTGCCTTCCACTGATGTAGATTCTGACCTTTCCCATATTGCTCTTACATTGCTTAGGAGCCACCACGCCCTGTACATCCTGCCCCACTCCCAGACGCACCACAGCCACCACGGCTGCCCCCTGAAGCTGCCAACACTTCTCTGCCTCAAAAGCCCCAGCTGAAGCTGGCGCGGGTACAGAGCCAGAATGGTATTGTGTTGTCATGGAGTGTTATGGAGGTGGACCGGAGCTGTGCCGCTGTGGACAGTTACCATCTCTACGCCTACCACGAGGACCCGAGTGCCACTATGCCCTCCCAGTGGAAGAAGATAGGGGAAGTGAAGGCCCTCCCGCTACCTATGGCATGCACTCTTACGCAGTTTGTGTCTGGCAGCAAATACTACTTTGCAGTCCGGGCTAAGGACATCTATGGACGTTTTGGACCCTTCTGTGACCCCCAGTCCACAGATGTGATCTCTTCCCAGAGCAGTTAAACTAGAGATCTTTGGAGCCTTTAAACCTGTCCTACTACCAAGAATTACCCCAGTTTTGGGGGGGTTGATCCAATGCATGAAATTCACTTTTAAATCCACTCTCTGCAGGATTATTTTAGGCAGTTGTGTGATACACTACATGCATTCAGAACCAAAAGAAAAATAAAGTCTGACCTGCAGCAAGAGAGCCTGTTTCTTCTGGATAGCTCAAGTCATGGGCCGTTTGAAAATTTCACTTTCCTTTCCATGACAGCTGTTCCACCTAGATACCTACCTACCCTTTATCCAAGGGCACCCTGGATGCCTGGGATTCTGCTTCAGAGTTGGAACAAAATAATAAATTACAGTTTGTCTGAAGCAAAACATATACATCTGTAATATCTATCAAGGCACTAACATGAGGGCAAGAACCTCTTGCTGCCCACCGCTCTGTGAGCAGGCTGTGATATGTGGGTGATTCAAGGTCTCACTTTTGTACTGGAAGATTGAGTGGTCTGGTCTTATTTTACAAACTGTAATGAGGTCTCTGAGGGGAGGGAAGGGAACTTGACTCTGGCCAGGGAACCAATATATGTGTGAATTTGGAGGTGGGGGAAAAAAATAAATCGCCCCACTACCTCCTACCTCTCCTAACTAAGAATGCTCTTCTACTTTCACCATCCTCACCCACTCACACCGGGAGCATTCCCAGGTCAGATCTGAAACTGGATTGTAGAGACTGCATTCACACCCCTCTTGTTCAGATAATTTCTCTGCCCCTCCCCTCGTACATCCAGCCCTATTTTTTAGATTTATTTTGTGCCTTAAATAATAATTTCAGAAATAAAATGTAGCCAGATACCTTGTGGTGTTCTTTTATTTGCTTGGAGTTGTTTTTCCCTTTACCCTTGAGCCTTTCATTACTGCTTCTCATTTTCCTGGCCTGCAGTAATTATTATTTCTGTAGACTGGGGAGTGTCCGTCCTGCTGATGCTGGATTTGGTTTTGTCTGCAGTATCATTCAACCCTGTCCTCACTGTAATTCTTGAATAGTTGTTTTTGTCCTGTCAAGAATATTAGAGTATACAGACAGTATTTTCCACCAGAGCCTTTCGCTGTTCTTTTGGGAAAGCTGTATGCTGCAGTTCAGCCAAAGAAGAAACCTCTGTGGTGTGGCACCATGAAAGCTTCTAGCTGTTTGCACTGAGTTTGGATGTTCAGTTAGTACAAAAAGGTAAGCAGTTGGCTTCCCAGTCCTCTCTCTCATCACCTGCCTGCCTCTGCAGAAAGCTAACGCACCCAAAGCAGTTTAGGAGTTATTTTAGACACTGGCCTAAAACTTCTGAGCAATTGCAAATGTAAATAGATGCTTTCATGATGCTTCTGAGCTGAGAAAAGAAATTGGTGCATCTGCCCCACTGTTGTTGACATGTTAATCTTGCTTTTTGCAGAACCAAATTGTAATGCACCTGGACAAGAAAGTATATGTAAGTTGTTTATCTTGGCACTTTTCTGTCTCATTCCTGCCCAGCAGAACCAAACAGTGGATTTAGAAAGGAAAGAGTCTTTTTCTTTTTAATCCACTTTACCATGTAGCAAAGCTGTAGAAGATTACATTTTTTAATTTCAGTGCCCTCATTCTTAAAACCAACATTTTTTAAATGTAAAGCAAGGTTGAAAAGGGCAGGAAAAATTAAGTCCCAAAACATGCTGGTGAAATATGCTATGAGATTATGGGTTCTTTAGTTGTGTTCCCTTTGAGAACTTTTACAGTGAAAGAAACTGCATTGTAGACTTTTGTCTATACTATTTTACTGCACTCCTTCATGTAGCTGGGATTGTCACTTCTATCAGGTGAGTAACAAATATTCTCTGTATGGAAACTTGCATTTGAAGTATAGCAGTTTTATTGATTTGGGCGAGCAAAAATTCTGTCTAAATCCAAGTATCATGAGAGAAGGTTCACACAATCTCATGTATGAACAATGTGTAACCTTTCCTTTGAGTAACAGTTGTCCCTGTATTACTGGTGCCAATAATCAATAATGCCTTGAATTTTTCTATGTTTCATTAAATGTTCTGACTGCCTGTTTCAAGGAATAATTACTTAATAATGCATTTAGTCTACTTATGGAAAGTTGGGTCCTTACAAAGCCAGCTCTGTAGTAGAGGTTAGAGCAGTTCATTCCGGTTGATGGCTGTCAAGTCCTCCCTGGGCAATTTTTTTAATGTGTCTTTGAGGTGGTACCAAAGGGCCATTGGCCGTATCAGTACAATGAGGTTTTATAGTTTTAAAGTTAAAATAAACTTAAGAATACAACCTAGAATTTATGCTGCTTATTTAACTGTGATTCCAGCCCAAACTATACATGAGCTTTTCTATAGTTTGTGCCTGCGTTTAGGTCACGATTGTTCTTAGCTTTGTCTTGCTTGGGATAGGTGGGGGGTGAGAGTCCTGTGTTAGAATGTTTTTCTTTCCTCCAATGGAGGTATTATTGGGGATGGTCTGATACTGTGTTTGGAGGTTTTGTGGGCTGTATCTTTAGAGAAAGACGACTCATCTTTATTTACTAAAGAAAGATGTAGTTCTCAACTGAACTGATTGTAAAAACTGGCTTCCGGATTAATAGATCCGTTTCTGCTATGTATGCAGAGTGCAGTTGATTTTTTGTGAATAGATTAAATAAGCTAGCTACCGTTTGTTGACTGAAGCCATGGCAGCTGTGGGGTGAAAGCTGACTTCTCTTTTGTTTCATCCCAGCAGAGCTCTTAAAGGTCCAATTTCAGGGTCTTAAGCAAGTGGTGGGGGCAAAGTATGTGATAAAGCATGGCTTGGCTTTCAAATGCCTAGCTCGGTTTGGAGACCTTACAGGTAGCTGGTCCTTAAATCACTGACACACAAAGAGAGAACTCTGCCATTTCTGTGAAATCATTTTCATGGTGGAGCAGAACTCTGCAGTGAGTATTCACCCCTTATACTAACAAATGGGAGTATTGCTTAACTCCTTAACTCATGGCACTTTTCCCTGTGTTGTGGGGTGGCTGGTTATTTTATTATCCTTTACCTCCCAGAAACAATAAAACTATTGAGAAACTAAATTTCTGCTAGCAACAAACGTTCAGAAATAATTGATTTCACTTAATAGACTTTATTTGAATGTATTGCCAAAATACCTGAGAACATTCAGTACAGGTCTGTTAACACCATGCTTCTAGACTTGGCTCGTCATAAAAGCGTTAGTTGCTGGAGGCTTCCAATAATCCACTTGTAGAGATTTTTCGCATATTTAAATTTAGGTGGAAGGGTTGGTTTTAGTTTCTTCTCTGCACTTCATGCAAGTTTTTCCATCTTATTTTCAACAGCCTGGTATAAAGCTGTTCCTGACTTACTTAGTGTTTTGCTGTTGCCACTGGGTACTTCACATTTCAGCAGTACCACCTTGGGTCTAGTTTCCTGTGTTTTAGCAAATGTGGTGCTGATTCTCCAGCTGTGTTTTCCATCCCCATTTACTTTCTGGTTTGTTCTAGGTTTGGTTTGTTTTCTCTGTGATACAAGGGCATCTGAATGTCCAGGTTGAAAGTAACTTGAGTTAGTTCAGTTTCTGGTTGGAGAGGAGCCCTGCTGAGGAGTGCTGATGGCAAAATGCCATTCCTTTCTATTGTATTCCTCCTAGTTACAGCTTCACAGGCCTTGTTTATTTCAGTATATGTTTAAAAAAAGCTTTATTGGATTCAAATGACTAAACCCTGGGAAGGGGAGCAGACTTTAGGTATAGCATCTGTACTGCATCTGCAGTGGCAGCTTCAGAAAAGATGAGGGTGCAGAGGCAGGTTCCCCTCAGCCTGTATTTATTTCCATGCTTCCCTGGGAGTAGCAGTTGGTCTTAGACTTGCCTCTTTCAAATTATTTGTGCTACCATTGGCCACGCTAGATCACTGAGCACAAGCACCGAGACATTCGCCCATCCCAAGGGTTTTAGCACAAGGCTGGAAATGCCCACGGTGTCTTCCCTGTAAAGATAAGAGGTCTTACCCTGCTTCCTTTGAAAACAATGGCAAAACACCTCGTGCCTTCAGTGGGAGCACGACTGGACCCAATAGTACAATCTGAGCACTGTTTTGTACTGTAACAAAAATAGTCACTTCAGCCCTTCCTTGATGCCATTTGTCTTAAATGTCCAATAAATTAGAATCTGTATTCTATGTAGGGACAGGTCAAATCTCTTCCTGCTCCCCAAACAGCCATTCTCCAGTATTACGAGTATTGCATGCACTGTACAAAATGAAGCTGTGATTCTGTCATCTTATAAACTCTTGACTATTTTCATTTAGTCAAAAATATCTATCCAGATTTTTTAAATAGAAGCTTGATGTATTAATTTTTTTTTTTTTTAATTTGTTGGTTTGGGTAAGGGTGGGCATTGTATGAAAACAATGGAGGAAGAGGACTTCAAATGACAGTGAGCCAGCCCTGCCACCAAAATCTGTATTCCCTTCCAAACACCTTCTGAGGGGAGAAAGAAAAAAATAAGGATAGCTAAGAGAAAGTGAATTAAGCTTTTCATCCCTTCTAAGTACCTGTTAAAAAAAGCATCTTTATTTCTCATTGTCATTATGCAGGCTGAGCATTCTTTTTTTCTCATATATACACACACATATATATATTTGAAGTGCTGTCTTAATTTAATGGGGTATAGCTGTAAATAAGATAACTGGATAGTAGCTGTTTGGGGAGTCTTGTTCAGCTTTAGTAATTTATTGGCTATTGGGAGTCAAACATGCACAATCCTTTGTTAGGAAACTCAGAATCTGATTTCTTGTTTTGTTTTACAGCTGGACTTGTAAATACAAAAAAAAAAAAAGGACTGATTTAATGTCCAATTTAAACTGGGCAGTTGCAAGTTCCCCCTTTTTGTATGTACTGTAGATTAGCGTGTGTGTCTGTGTTAACTGTAGTGGGGTTTTGTCTGATAAGCCTGAAATTTCTACTTTGAAATAAACTACTGGGTTTTTAACATTTTGAGTCATCTGTGCTTAGTTCCAGACGTTGCAGGAGACAACTCTTTCAAAAAGAGCCCAGTGCATCCTCTTCCTCTTCAGAAGTGTTGCCACCTTGCTCAAGTAATGTGAGAAGCAGTTCCCAGAAAGTCAACTGCATGATGCTGCCTCTCAGCCATTCGTACAGCCTCAGCCCTCACAGCCATCTCACTGTCATGTTGCACTTCCACAGCTGAGGGAGCAGAGGAAGAGGTCACTGAACAACGGCATGGGCTGATCAGGAAGAGATCCATTGCACAGAGATGCACCATTCTTTCCCTGCTGCTATGCTGCAGGCTGGGGCAGTGGGGTGTGTGTTTCCAAAACTATCAATCAGGCTGCTTTCAGAAATCACCAGGTCCCTCCCTTCACTACCTTTTGCAGCCTGACCATTGCATGCTGCTTTGGTGAGACAAAGGAAATCTTGCAAGCAGCACTGCAAGCCATGCCCTGTAGACAACACGCATCAGCCACAGAGAAAACCACCCTGGTGCTCTCAGCTAGTGACATTTCTGGATGAGAGGCAATTTACAGAACATCTCAAAGGCACTGCTCAAATAAAAGACATCAAGCCAGCACTGAGATAAGGCCACCATGGCCCAAAGCAGCCACCTGGCTTGGCTCAGCCCTGGAAGCAGGTCCTATGGTGCTATTAGGGATAGATCACTCTGATTGCATTGTAGTTCTCTCCTGCTCTGGGAACAGCTGTGACTATGGTTCAGATCACCCCAAAGCAGTGCCACACCTGCTTCCCATCAATCCTAGTCAGAGGAAGGGCCACCCAAATAGCTCAGAAGAGCAGAACATGCATTGGGCTGCACTGAGGCAGCCCATGTCAGTACAAAGTGCCTAGCAGGCAGGACAGGGGAAAGCAGGTAAGGCACAGGGATGTGGACATCCAGGTCAATTTATTACACACAGGAATGAAAGTTTCCATTTAAAAAAAATCCATTTGGGAATATTGATGCTGGTTTTACAGGATTGGCCTCATGGTGACAAAATGAAAGTTGTATGACTCTGGCAGGCCCTGGTGTCGCGTGTGGTTAAACCGTCTCCAGGTGAAGACAGGGAGACCACCCTGTACTGGGGGGCCATTGATTGCAGTGGCTGTGAACGCTGAAGCCAGGCGGAAATCTGACACCTGTAATAAAGGACAGGAGTTGAGGGCAAAAGGGTTGCGTGGTGTTTAACATGCACCCATCCCACAGAGCAGGAACAGCTCCATGAGATTGAATAACAATAAAGAAGGTGAGCAAGGGGAAATGCATGCTGATCAGGCAGCATTCCTTGCCTGCACCAAGGCATCTTCAGCCACAAAACTGCCAGCGCTGAAGGACAGTAGCAAAGCACAAGCCCATGCTGCCCTCTAGCCCTCACACTATCCAGGGTGAAAGAGGCAGCACATCTGCCCTCAGGGCAATCCTCCCTCGGTTTGCATATCTATCTCCAAAAGAGCTGGAGCTGCAGCAGGCAGCCTAGGGGGTCTGAGCTAAGCTCTGCTGCGTGTTAAGCACTTGGGCTGTCCCCTAGAGCTCTGTCAGGGTAATTCGGGAAAGAACAAAGGCAGCACAGAGTTAATATTGCTGCCCAGGCTCTGCCCTGTTTCTTCATTATCTCCCAAGAGGTCCCCAGCCTGCTCCATCTTCCCAAACTCAGAGACACTAAAATTGCCTTTAGTGTTTTAACTGCCATGTTTTGGCTCTGCTCTGGGCTAGTTCTCTCAATGCCCCTCTTAGGGCCCCTGTCCTCCCCCAGCCCAGTCCACTCCCCTTGCCTAACTATGCTGGCAAAGGCACCACAACCAGCATGCACAAACCTACTCCCTTACCAGACACCTCTACACAGCAATTTTCTGCATTCATCTCATAATAACCAGCTCTAGGAGCTCCTACTGGCCACTACAGCAGGCAGCTGGCCTGGGCTTATGCCCACTGACTGGACACACAGCACTGGCAGTGCCAAACAGCCTCAACAGGGCCCATCCTAGCAACCAAACTCATAATCCAGAAACGCAGCAGGCTGGACCCCACAGGATAAAACAGTGTATGACTTCGCAGCACACCAGGGCCGGACAGCTGCTTACTCGGGTATTGTCCTTCACCATGAAAATACCATACTAGCTGCCTAGAAAAACTGCTGCTTTCTCCAGGACAGTGGGTCTAAGGATTTTCCCACATACCCCAGAAAGCAAAATGATCTCTACCAAACTTTGCTCAAAGCAGTTTCACAGAGAGGTGGAGCCCTGGAGCAGGGTAACTTACTAGAGAGCCAGGCTTTTGTAAAGGTAAAGCTAAAACCAGGCTGAAAACACATTCCTGTGGGCTCTGGGGAGGCACCCACACAGTCCTCACAAACAGGAGGCCGAGACTGTACAACAGTCACCTCCCCAGAGTGATGTGAAGACTCATTACAGCCTTCTCTTAAGCTCCTCCTGCTGCAAGGCTTTGGGGTTTAACCCCTTGTACCCAATACACCCCTAAACACCACAAGTTCCCACGGACATAGTTCTTTCACACACCTCCCCCTGCATCCTCTGCCCTCGGCCACTGCGCTAGGACTGGTGTCAGGGACAGGAGACAGGACTCTGCACACAATTACCATCTCGGGATCTGCCCAAGCACTGGGACAGCATGAAAGAGGGAACAGACATGCCTGGCCATGCCTGCCTTAGCATGTTTCCCTGCACTACAGGTCTGATGATAGGAGTACAAACAGGCTGCAGCGAACATTCAGCAGATACTGAAATTGAGGTAATTTACCTTGGAGTCATAGCAGCCTGCAGGCACTGGAAAAGAAGGATTCAGGTCCTCCCGGCAGCAAATGGTGTTGCAAGGATTCCGTTCAGCATAAGGATCACGCTGGTAGTCTGGACAGAAATGTGGTGGAAAGGGAAGGAAGGAAGAAAACAAGTTAGTCCCCTCACAAAAAGCTGATGCAAAGTGCCCGAGCCACTAAGTGGGCTGGCAGAAACAGAGGTCTATCACATTGCTCTCATGCTCCTCTCCAGGTGCCAGCTAGAAGTCAGTGCTCAACACAGGACAGGAGTAGACAAGCTCCTAATCCAAGTCCATACAGCTATTTCTGCATCCCAGGGGCACTGCTGCCAACCTCTAACCACAAATATCTGCAACTGCACATGACAAGAGCTTGCAGGAACTCTGTCAGGAGAGAAAAGCAGAAGAGAAAGGGAAAGGGGGGAAAAGGGAAGGGAAAAGTGCAGTAGCAAGAGCCTTTTCCAGTTCTCGACTAAAGTAAGTAGCAAGGAGCAAAGCCTTCAAACACCCGTTGTAGTAGCTGCAAGCTAGGAGGGGAAGGTGGACAAGCCTCAACATCTATGAGCATGCTGCAACTCACAGCCCGAACAGTAGCAATACCCCACCCTGGGAGAGGCCTCCCAAACCCCAAGCCCAGTAATCAGCGTGCTCCTTATAACTGGGAATAAAAATATAGCATCTAAAGCTATCTGTACTTAGAGATGCACTTAGCCAGAAGTTAAGCTGGTTTTAATCCAGTTAAGGAGAACCCTGTCAGGAAAAAGCAGAGCAGAGCATTACCTACCAAAGATCATTTGCCAGAGCAGGGTAAAAAAAACTTGAAGTTCTACACTAAATTCTCTGGTCTGATCTGACCTAACTGTTGCTTAGGATTTAAGGCTTTCAAGATTGACAGACTGTAGATATATTAGGTATTAGCAGTCCACAGAGTCTCTTGAAGTGTCAGAAGCTCTCTGGAAAGGTCAAACAGCAGGTCCAAGGGACCTTATTCTAGCAGGAACCCAGTTTTGTTTCTGTAAGAGTAATTTTAGCCTGGCTTCCTACCTCAAAATTAAGCTTGTTATCTTTTTACTTTGTGTGTACTCTGCACCTAGGGTAATATAACTCTGACCCGTATGTGAGGCTGCAGCTTCCCACTATAATCCAAGAAATAAAAGTAACACTGCTTTATTAAGATCAGCTCTACAGTACATAAACATGTGTCTTACTGTTGTATCTCATGATGTACTTCATGCTTTCCAAGTTGGTCACCTTGCCCTGGTCTCGACGGAAGATTTTTGCTCTTGGAGCAAGCTCATAAGAGAAATCCATGCCATACTTCTCAACGTATGCCGTGTACCCACTGAGATTATAAATCTTTTCATGGAAAGGGATATTGTATGAAGGCCAGTAACCTGCCAGAAACAAAACCCAATCTGTTAATCACTTAAAAAAGCTGAACGCTCTTGCTTATATCAAAAAAGAAAAAGAAACTTTTTTCCATGCTGCATTGCCTTAACAGCATGTCAAGGAATAACACATCAAACTGGTCTGAACACAAGAAAATAAGGCAATAGTCACTGGCATGACCAGGGCTAACTCCCAGTGTAACACCGCTGGAGACTGTACCGAGGCAACCCGCCCCCAGATTTCTACCCTGAGGACTCATTCTGCGAAACAGCTGAGATCAGACTTGCAGGAGTCTGAGGCAAACATGCAGAACAGCCACAGCCCTCCTGCAGAGGTTTTCCTGCTCAGCCTCAGAGGAGTGTAAGATCATTTACCTCCACCAAACTTCCCAGCAAGAGGCTTCAAGTCACTCCCTTTTTCCCCTGCATTCCCCATCTCACCAAGGCAGAGGAATACACCATGCTGAGATGTCAGGGATGGACAGATACACACAAACACACATGGACCACAGAGCCAATAGGGGTGAACAGGAGGCAGGCCAGCAAAGAACCACACACACATGCTT